CTATACTATACTATACTATACTATACTATACTATACTATACTATACTTATGCAGTAGATCATGAGTATTCAGAATAGGTACACAATACACTTACTGAGTAATTTTTTTAAAGGCAAAACAAAATTTAGAAAATTTACCAGCAATCATATAATATCAAATCAATTATGATCTAATAAAATAATATTTGCTCCAGATGGATTAAGAATGGTAGGGTTATTACTGTCTATTTATAAAAATTTCATACATGAATTAGCTTTATAAATTAAAGAAAATGGAAAATGTTTGTATGCATATATAAACCATATATCCTTCACACAGGATAATCAATAACAATATAACACCATGAGATGACACACACGCAGTATAATATATTGCATTGCTACCAGCAGGAACAAACAATAAAGTTGGTCATCAGAACTTAAATGACCAAATAGCCTGATTTGTCTCTTCTAGCACATTCTATGGCATTATAGAAGGAGTGAAGAGGTCCCACATACTCTAAGGAGGACAGATAAGGATGTGGCTGGCTGACCTGGAGCAGGATTTGGTGGCTGCCTGGTGTAGGACACATTGAATGTGGGCTCGTCAATAAGTGGTGGTGGATACATGCGCCGGCGGATGAAGAAACCAGCTCCACAGCAGAACAGCACGCCCATCATCAGCAGGAACCTGCAAGGAACATGGACATGAGCCCAGAGTTTAAGCCACAGGCTGAAGCCAGGCTCCAGAACTGTGACAAAAATGCCCAAAGATTCTCTGGGGCCTCAGAATAGCACTCCTCATTAGCGAGGCACAGAGATCCAGCAAGCTGTGAGAAGCCTCCAGCCAGGAGGGCATGCGACTAGCCTGGGTTCACTCTGGACTGTTTCATTCTGGGACATTCCTCCTGTGGAAAACACCAGTTAGATACTCACTCTGAAAACCTCCGAGGTGTCCCCAAAATAGAAGCCATTAACAGTAAGATGCTCGCTAAAAATTCTGTATCACAGTGGCTACAAATGATTGGTTTCAGAGGACTACTGACCAAACAGGATTTTAGGAGACGCTGCCAAATCCAGTCTTTGTTATTATTTCCACATTTCCAATTTTCACTTCAAAACCACAAAATGCACATTTATCTATCTTAACACCTTTCTACTTTACGAAGTGAACACTGAGTAATTTTAAAAAGGCACCTGGAGCACATGCTTAATTACCAGGGAAGTATAGGGAAAACAGTCAGCAAAATAGGAAAAGATTAAAAAAAAATAGAGGCTGTAAACACTGCTGGCCACTGTCCACATGTTGATCCTAACATCTAACAGGCAAGGGTAGTGTGTGCTTTACAGATAAGACATTGGTCCAAACAATCTAAGATTCTCATTTACTAGTAGATCATCACTAAAAGGAAATGCCAGGCAAAAAACTGATAAATTCTTGCCCATGAAACTTAACTAGAACCTCATATAACATGCCCATACTCTGGGCCTTGTATGAGATGAGCACAGAGCAGGGTTGGTTATAGCCAATGGCACCAGACAATGTGTCAAAAAAAAAAAGTTTAAGACAAGAGCATGTGATAGTACCTTTGAGAGTAGTAATAAGGCTAAGTGTAAGTCAGTCAACAGAAACTTTCTAGATAATCTTGGAATGTTGAGCAGAAGTTTAAAACAGACAACATGCAGAAATGACTTAGGAAAAGGCTGAAATTACAGTCTTCATGTTCTTTCTCTTAAATTATTATTGATGCAACAAATAACTGTTCCACACCTTTAGTGTCCCCAACTCCACAGGAAGGAATGTATGTGTGCTGGTTGGTTTTTTGCCAATTTGACACAAACTGAGACATATCTTGGAAGAAGGGATATTATTTGATTCCCTGTAGGAAAGTGTGGGTGATTGCCTTGACTGATGTGGGAGGGCCGGGCGCACTGTGCGCAGCACCGTCTCTGGCACTTGGACCTGGGCTACATAAGAAAGCTCCGTGCGGAGCAAACCAGCAAGCAGTGCTCCTTCATAGCTTCTGCTTCCGTTCCTGCCCTGACTTCCCTCAGCGATGGATAGTGGCCTGAAAGTTGTAAGACGAAATAAATCCCTTCCTCTCTGCCATGATATATTAATCATGGTGTTTTATCACAGCAGTAGAAACCCTAAGACAGTAGGTGAGTCACTTCCCCACCCCTCAGTGAACTTAATTTTTAATAGAAGAGGGGAAAACTGAATGGCGAATGTATACAAGTGACTGTTCTTCCAGAGGACCCAGGTTAAATTACAGTTACAACTGTCTGTAACTTCAGGATATGATAGTCTCACACTGACATACATACAGGGAAAACACCAATGCACATAAAATAAAAATAAATAATTTTAAGAAGTTTTGTGCACTCTCTGAAGAGTACTCCCATACAATGACAAGCTTGCTGCTGAAGGGCGAATGACCTAAAAGCCTCAGAGGACTGAGATGCTCCAGATAGTAAAGTTGCCTTAACTTAGAACACCTGTGGCCCATTGGGATCCAGGAAGCTCTTGATAAGGAGAGCAACATACTAGCCCCTGCTGATCTCAACCACTTGGAGGCTGCACGGTAATGGACCTGAACATATAATCTTACAATCCCCAAAGTTCTCCTTTCTCCCCCTATGCCCCAAAGCCCCTGTGCCATATGCACAGTCTCCACTCCTGCAGAATGACTAGTGTTCTTCAATTATTCTAACGAGTGTCTGTCTTTCTTTACTTCCAAGCCGTGTCCATCGATCTCAATCTAACAGTTACTATCTACTGAAAAACTGTCTCTTTCAGTAGATGTAAAAGATTTGTGGTTGACACAGACACAGAATTTTAGCCAAGGAAGGTTTACTGAGAGGAAATGTATGGATCAGGCCCCAGGAGCATTTGTATTTTGACTATGACCCTTCAGACTCCATTTCCAGGCACTCTGGCTATACCTTCAGTTGTAACTTGAGTAATAACTGGAATTCTAATAACATGATGAATGCTTCTGTAGCTGGCACTCCAACCTTGTCAGAGCAAGGCTGTGGGACACACAAATGCTTCAGTCTGTGTGAGATACTGCCAAACCACATGTCCCCTCTGAAAGGCTTTACCCTGCAGGGTATCAAGGCAAATGCTGAGACTTTTCCCATTGAATGGTTTTGGCATCTTTGTCAAAAATCAGGTGTCCATTAAGTGTGGAAATTTATTTCAGGGTCTTCTATTTGATTCCATTGATCTACCAGTCAGTTTCTATGTCAGTACCATGCTGTTTTTAGTATTGTTATTACAAGTTAAGACCAGAAATGGAGATACCTCCAGAAAATCTTTTATTGCAGAGCCTTTCAGAGGCCCTCCCTGGTATGCTCATGTCCTGTTTCTTGTTTTCTCCTTCTTCCAATGCTCATCCCATTTGTCTTTCTAAGTGAGGGTTGATCATCTTACCCTGGGTCCTCCTTCTTGTTTAGCTTCTTTAGATATATGGATTTTAGAATGTTTATCCTATATTATATATCTAATATCGACTTATGAGTGAGTACGTACCCGGTGTGTCTTTCTGCTTCTGGGATACCTCACTCAGGATGATCTTTTCTAGTTCCCAGAATTTGCCTGCAAATTTCATGATTTCCTTGTTTTTATTGCTGAGTAATATTCCATTGTGTACATGTACCACTATTGCTGTATCCATTGCTCATCACTGAGGGGCATCTGGGTTGTTTCCAGCTTCTGGCTATTACAAATAAAGCTGCTCCAAACATGGTTGAGCAAATGTACTTGTTGTATACTTGAGAATCTTTTGGATATATGCCCAGGAGTCGTATAGCTAGATCTTCAAGAAGCGCTATTCCTAAGTGTCTGAGAAAGAGCCTGATTGATTTCCAAAGTGGTCGTTCAAGTTTACATTCCCACCAGCAATGGAGTAGGGTTCCCCTTTCTCCACATGCTCTCCAGCATGTGTTGTCACTTGAGGTTTTGGTCTTAGCCATTCTGATGGGCGAAAGGTGAAATCTCAGGGTTGTTTTGACTTGCATTTCCCTGATGACTAAGGAAGTTGAGCATTTCTTTAAGTGTTTCTCTGCCGTTCGATATTCCTCTATTGACAATTTTCTGTTTAGGTCTGTACCGCATTTTTTAATTGGATTAACTGATTTGTTGCTGTTTAACTTCTCGAGTTCTTTATATATTCTGGATTATTAGCCCTCTGTCAGATATAGGGTTGATGAAGACCCTTTCCCAGTCTGTGGACAGTCGTTTTCTTCTGACAACAGTGTCCTTTGTTTACAGAAGCTCTTCAGTTTCATGAGGTCAATTTATTCTTTGTTGATCTTAGAGCCTGTGCTGTTGGTGTTCTGTTCAGGAAGTTGTCTCCTGTGCCAATGAGGTAGAGGCTCTTCCCCACTTTTTCTTCTAACTGATTTAGTGTATCTGGTTTCATGTTAAGATCTTTGATCTACTTGGATTTTAGTTTTGTGCAGGGTGATAAATATGGATCTATTTTCATTTTTCTGCATGTAGACATCCAGATAGACCAGCACCATTTGTTGAAGATGCTATCTTTTTTTCCACTGTATGGTTTTTGTAAACAATCAAGTATCCACAGGTGTGTGGGTTTATTTCAGTGTTTTCAATTCAATTCCATTAATCTACCATTCTGTTTCTATAACAGTACTATGTGGTTTTTATTACTATTACTCTGTAGTACAAGTTGAGATCAGGGATAGAGATAACACCAAAAACAAACAAACAAACAAACAAACAAACAAACAAAAACCCAGAATTTCCAAAACAGTCCTTTACAAGAAGGACTGTTTTGGAAATTCTGAGGTTTTTTTTGTTTTTCCAAAGTCTGTAAAGAATTTTGATGGTAACTGAATTGAATCTCTAGATTGTTTTTGGCAGGATGGCCATTTTCACGATGTTAATCCTACTGATCCATGAGAATGGGAGATCCTTCCATCTCTGACATTGTCTTCAATTTCTTTATTAAGAACCTTGAAGTTTTTTTTCAAACAAGTCTTTCACTTGCTCAGTTAGAGTCACACCAAGGTACTTTATGTTATTAGTGGCTATTGTGAAGGGTGTTGTTTCCCTAATTTCTTTCTCATCCCATTTTTCTTTGTTATACAGAAGGGCTTCTGATTTTTTTTTTTAGTTAATTTTGTATCCAGCCACTTTGCTGAAGGTGTTTATCAGCTGTAGGAGTTCCCTGGTAGAATTTTTGGGATCACTCAGGTATACTATCATATCATCTGCAAATAGTGATACTTTGACTTCTTCCTTTCTAATTTGTATCCTCTTGGCCTCCTTTAATTGTCTTATTGCTCTAGGTAGGACTTCAAGAACTATGTTGAAGAGATATGGAGAGAGTGTGCCCTTGCCTTGTCCCTGATTTCAGTGGGATTGATTTAATTTTCTCTCTGTTTAGTTTGATGTTGGATATAGGCTTGCTGTATATTGCCTTTACTATGTTTAGGTATGTGCCTTGTATCCCTGATCTCTCCAAGACTTTAAACATGAAGGGTGTTGGATTTTGTCAAATGCTTTTTCAGCATCTAAGGAGATGATCATGTGGTCTTTCTTCTTCAGTTTGTTTATATAATGGATTACATTGATGGATTTCTGTATATTGAACCACCCCTGCATACCTGGGATGAAGGCTACTTGGTCATGGTGGATGATATCTTTTATATGTCCTTGGA